CTGTTATGCTTATGAGTAATGTCGTGCTTTGTAAATACAAAAACTATAAACATTCTGTATAGACAGCGGAGTAGTTTACAAAGATAATAACTTCATAAATAAGATGCTTAGACAGATAATACAAGGTCTGACAATTAAATAATGAGACTGAATTTACTATAGCAAAGACAAAAATGCCATCTATGAATCAAAGCGTTGAATCCAAAGAGGCAACCTTCGTCCATGATCTTGCAACTTTTCATTGCCGCCGGATAAGCAGACAACAAACAAGCGGCCAATTTGTTAACCTAGTCAGATGTGCATTGTTACATAATCAGCGTGAAGCAAAACAAAAACAAAAAAAAGCTAACATTAAATTAGGTTTAAAACTCAGAAAAAGCGCCATTGCGACAATTATATTGATGTGAAATGTTTATGGGGATAATTTTTTTTATTTCATGCACAGATTTTCTGTTGGCATTCATAATTCAAAAGTGGTGTGAAAATTGTTACTAATGCAACTAGACATGGACGCCCAATTGGTGTTCGTAATGAGCAACTCATTGCAAGAAGATCATACAAGAAGATCGTTGTTTGACTGTGAGGATGATGGTAGATGAAAATGGTGTTAATACAGTCTATTCATAACATTTTAGTAGAAGATTTAGGCAAGAAAACAGTTGTTTATCGGATTGTATTCAACACCCGGCCATTTTGTTTCTTCTTCATGACGATGAACCAGCTCAAAAGGCGGTAGTTGTGCAGGAATATTTGGCTCAAAAACAGATGCGTGTTCTCAACCACCCTATTCCCTAGAATTGTCTCTCTGTGACTATTTTCTATTGCCAGAATCAAAGTTGCCATTGAAAGGACATTTCTTTGACAATATTGATGGCATCCAAAGGGCCGTAACATTGACTTTAAGGGCCATAACGATATAAGAACTACAGTGGTCGTTCCAGTGATTGTTAGATCGTGCCACTCGCTGTATCAATGCACAAGAGACTTACTTTGAATCAAATACAGGTTATATCTTCAACTGTTGATTATTTAAATTGTTATGGAATAAGTCTCGTTACTTAATTCTTGTACCATATATTAGGTAACACTGTGGGAATAACAGAAACATACCTACTTCTCGGACTTGTACTCTGCTCTATCTGCAGCTATAACAGGGAAGATATAAGTGTCACGTTAATTTTTTTTTTTTTTTTAATGGTTAAAAAAATAGAAGGTATGACACATATGCCAATGACCAAAAAGTTAAAGCTTACTTCCTTGTCTTCTGTTTCCATAAGCTTTGTATGCAGGGCCAGTTGATAAATATTATTTATATCTGTTCTTCAGTTGTGGGTCCTACTGTCTTATATTACACGAGCTAATCTCGGAAAACTGTACAATACATACGCCTTTTAATTATGAAAACATATTGTCGTTTAATTTTAACTGAGCGTCACCATCGCGTTGGTGACTAGACGCCCGCCTGCCGATCGGAAGGTCGTGCATTCGCGTCCTGGCGTAGCCGACATTTTTTGTTTTTTAAGTAACTCTGACCCCAAGGTTGACCCAGACTTGAGTGGGTACCAGGTGCAGTACTTGGAAGTAAAGGCGGCCGACGTGATACTGACCACATCAAACACCAAGTGCCGATGGGTCTATAAAAAATATAGGCTAGTTCTATATTCCCAACAAGTCTCAAGGCGTGGAAAAAGGACCTTTACTTTATTTACTTACTTTCCTTCAATTTTAAGTAAAAAGAAATAATAACGAATCTGTACAAACCTCATACATTATTTTACATAATTCTTTTTAATTAAGGCTCTATTTAAAAACAAAAACAAAAAATTCAAATTACACTCAGTCGTCCCCATGTGGGATGCAACTTTTTCTACATTTTCAAACTTGCAACTGTGGGATAGATAATTTCTGGAATAATATTCCGAAATTCCTGAAAGCCTTTTTACTCCTTGGGCAGTAATACGGGACTTCTTTTCTAGAGACGCCAAGAGGAATCTGGCGCGGTCATTCTTTGCCAGACCTCTGAGGTGTCGAGACGCATTTCAGCTCTCTTGTTAAATCTTGGAGCATTCAAAATACCAGTTTAATCTTTGAAGGATTCCTAAGCTTGGGTAAGTTGATTATAGTTTACGAGTACCATGAAATATGTCTCTAAAAAGTTAGCCACTGCTGCAGGGAGCGAAGATTCAGCTGTGTGACCGCACAGAACTAGACCGTTCTTGGTGTCCAGACACTCAAGCCCCTGAAATCAAACCTTTCCCTTCGCAGGATTATAGTTTGTGCTCTACATGACCTACACCATCATAAAGATATTAAACCCAGCAAGTTAATTATTCTCTAACCAGACAACAGAGAGTGTGTCGATTAGCAGACATGTTAACTGGGTCAAACTTCAGCCGGCTAGACGCTGTGACGTCAGAGGTTGGTTTTAGCACAACACAGTGTGTGCGATGAGCAGACGGTGGATGGTATAAAATATAAATGTGAGAGAGAGATGGGATGAAAATCTACAAGTGCATATGGGCGAGGAGAGTTGATGTTCTATGTTTGATAGTCGATCTGTCTCCCTTTTGGTACTCATCTCCTGTCCCTGTTACTGACTGAACAATAGAGATGATATGTAGAGACGTATACTGTCTCATTATCCTAAGAGCTGTCCTCTGAATGATTACTAATGTGCATGTTAATAAACTGAGCTTGACATGTAACCACTGAGATGACTGCTAATTCTGAGTTCCTTCTTGATACAGGATGATATCTCTTTGGAGGCCAGGCAGTGAATCAGCGGTCCACAAAACCACCTACAAGGAAGTCACCTATGTCTAAGCCAGTGGTGGGCATCAGAGTGTAAACCAAACTTTTGTCATCATTTAATGAAATCCTCCAGTTGGTCTACAGACAACATTGTGGGTGTTGTACCTTCACCATCATTTATCTGGCAGCTTGTTTGTGCCTCAAGTGTTTGACTTGGTACCTGAGATCCTCTTCAGGAGCTTGGGTGTATCTCCAGTGTTCGAGTGTCTAGTGTGGGACTGTCTTCAACATAACACCAGAGTGACTGAACATCCAGCAAGTTCAAGAAACCAGGGATTCAGATAAGTGTGGTCAATCATTGGTTTATTGCCAGGCTTCACTATTAATCGTCCACATTATCATAATGATGATCTAGGCGGACTTTGGGACATTATTACACGTTCAGTCGGATCGTGTTTGAAGTTTTAGTCCTTCATATCACTCTGGGTTCTTGAAGTTCTTTGCTAATTCTTATATAATGTATATGTTGCATTTATCACCAGTTCAGAAAGTTTCATTATTGACTTGAGTGTCCATCATTCATTGTTCTTAGCTGTCTAAAGTACATGTATGTTCAATTGATAATCTTCATCTGTGTTAACATGGCTGTGATAGTATGCTGTGATAGTATACTATCATAGCCTGGTGGCTATCTTTTTATAGTGGTGGGGTGTCCAGCCAAGTGTGCCTAGGAATATTAAATATTCTGTAGTGCCAGAACTTGAGTTGCCCTACTCCTGAAATAAGTTAAGCGTATTATGGCCACGGGATATCCCTTAGACCAATACGAGCAGACGCCTCAACATTATTATTTCAGAGTGCTGTTGGTTCTTAAAGAGAAATCCTTAAATCAGGCACTCGACACGAGCGGTATGTGACACGCGGTGACAGAATAGGACGACTTATATTCTTTTGATACCTATGAGAAAATAAGTACTAGAGACCGTCATAACAAAGGGAATGTAGAAGTGGAAGAGGCAGGCAGGGGCGGGGTGGGGGGGGGGAGACAACACATTATGACACCGTATCAAAAATTATTGATAGTTTACATGACAGCAGTATATTAACTTGATAACCAAGACCACAAGATATGGAGGTGAGCATGTTTGATCCATGTAGAGGTAAGCATCGCTTCGAAATCCCAGGCAGTTACCGTCTTTTGGGTATTTTCTCAAGAACAGGTTTGTTTGTTGGGAAATGAACACACAGACAGATTGGTTGGTTCTCTACCACTTGATAAGCTAGATGCTACAAATACATTAGTGGGGCGAGTGAAGAGTGCGGACGCGGTCTGAAGAGGATGATGCAGCGGGAGGTGATCACGGGATCTGGCCAACACTCAACGCAAAGGCAGTCAGACTGCTACTGGTACCACCGGAACTGAAACTCTCTGCTGGGGGCGAAGATTGGGAGGGGAGGGGGATGAGGGGGGGGGGGTGTGCATTACTTTTGGGAATGTACCGAGTGCTTTGTTCAGATCCTTAGGTCAGATCATCAAAAAGTGAATTTAACCAGAAGAGCTTCAAGCTACCTACCTAAAAGTCAATTTTGAATAATTAAAAATATCCTACGAGAGAGTTGGACTCAGCCCATCGCCAGAAGATTGTGTGCAAAAGATAAGTATCACTTTAAAATACGGTGCTCCTAACAAGCGGGACGGAGAAGAGACACCATATTCATGATTCCTATGATTGTAAGAGATGGAAACCACCTCGACCCCTTACGCTAGCTAGCACACCCAAATCGCCAGTGTAAATTGCTTTAAAGCGAAGATAAAAAACAGAAAAAGATTGAAATTAATTATATGCTTGTAACTTACATTAAGAACATGATCAGTAGGACTATTTACAGTTGTCCAAATTATTGAGCGTGCGGCGTCCGTGGCTAAGGCGTTGCGAGTCCGACTCGTAATCCAACGTACCGCCATCGAAACCCACTGCGGGCTGCATGGATTTTTATCGTAGTACGGGACGTCGCAGGTCGACCTAGCCTAGAATGACTACCAGGATGGGCTGTCCTGGGAAAGTAAAGACAGCCGGCGTAATGCTGACCACATTACCCACCGAGTGCTGATGGTCTGTAAAAATATGGGCGCTCTTCCCATATGCCCGATACGCCTAAAAGGCGTCTAAAGGCAAAAGCCAAGCCAAGCCAAGCTCAAATTTTTTAGCGTGCCTTTGAAAATCGTTCCATGAAACAGGTTTACTTACAGTTGCTACTTGTAAAAGGTAGATACAGTCCTGGACGCCTTGCAGTGTGGCCGCCGACATAGCTTTAAGCAACAGCAAGTCCTGTAAATAGTAAACAGACCCCGGAATTGTGTCAGTACATCGTCTTGCAACATTGTTCGCTATCATTTTTTTCCGCTCATAAAGACAACAGTGAGAACTTTCAGCTGTGCCTGTGGGTGTGTTTTACCCATTCCCTCATCTTCCTCTGCCTAACACCCCCTGTCCTTCCCTCATCCGGTCCCTTTCGATCTGCACAGTCAACTTAAAAAAAAAAAAAACATGTCATACTGTCTATTTGAAGTCGAGTCAATTTTCTCGTTAGCGTTCTTGCTTAACTAGTGGTCCGAGTTCTTCTTCTTCCTGGTTTCTCACGGCTGCACACCCCGACGGAAAGTTTTGGCTGTTAGTCCACTTCTTCACTTTGATCTTATTCCAGAACCTGAGTTTTGCGTGCACATACGTTTTCACAGATCTGGCTTATCTGTATGCAGACTGTTGGTGCCTTGCCGCTTAGCCAGAACACTCGGATTTTGAAGCAAACACTCCTAAACAGTTGCCTCTGAAAACATGCTCCTTAGGGGTGAGTGGGCATTGCTTTGTTCTCCAAAATGGAGCTCCCTTTACTTTCAAGGACGTTATCTGGTACTCGTTTGAGGCTTGGTCTACCTGGGAACAAAGGTCATTTCTGAAGACATTCAGCCCTGATGTGGATTTGAACGCACGATCTTCAGGTCCGAGATTAGTCTATAGCCGTAAAGCCACGGCAGCTCACCAGTCCAAAACATGCATTTATATCTAGAAAGGAAATTATGTTGTTTTATATTGTTTTAAAGCAATATACATAATATTTTAAAAAGTAGGTACAAACACAGCAGCAAATTTGGGGCTGGTACTATATAAACTTATGTGGCTTAGTAGTTGCGAATGCGCTTCGTAATGCCTGGGTGACGGGTTCGATTCCAGCTGCGGGCCTTGCGCCTTGCTTTGTTTTCGACAGAGGTATCGAGAAGTCGACCATCAAGAAAGCCATGGCAAACTACTGAACGTAAATCTGCCTAGAAAACCCAAACAGCCAAAAAATTCTAGGGTTGGTTCTGCAATGTCCTGTAAAATAAACGCAATTGACTTTAACTAACTAACTATAAACACAACACACAGCGTATAATGAGTTGTTTAGTTTTGACATGGTTAGCTTTAGCATCTCGGAGAAAGGAGAGAACTAGCGACAGCGACTGGTACCTACAGCATCTAATGAGTTCATGTACATGCCTGATGTCGGCAACTCCTAGGAGGCAAAACAAAATCAAATAGTTAAATAATTGCTACACAATGATGATGTTTAGCAATTGCTACATGACGATGATGTTTAGTAATTGCTTCATGACGATGATGTTTAGTAATTGCTACATGACGATGATGTTTAGTAACTGCTATATAATGATGATGTTTAATAATGGCTACATGACGATGTTTAGTAATTGCTACCTAATGATGTTTCTTACCTGCTACATAATGATGATATTCAGTAATTGCTATATGCTGATGATGTTTAGTTCTTGCCACACGTATGTTATGATGTTAAATACTTGCTACATTATGATTATGATGTTTAATACTTGCTACATTATGATAACGTTTAGTACTTGCTACACGTTGACGATGTTTAGTACATACTATGTAATTATAATGTTAGAGCATTCTTTGCGATAACGATGTTTAGCACTTGCTACATGAGGACACTTACTACATGGCAATGATGTTTGGCACTTGCTACATGATGATAATATCTTATACTCGCTAAACGATATGATGTTTAGTAACTGCTACATAATGATGATGTTTAGTACTTGCTACAGGACGATGATGTTTATTACTTGCTACATAAAGATAATGTTTAGTACTTGCTACATAATGATAATGTTTAGTACTTGCTACATGATGATGATGTTTAGTATTTGCTGTACGATGAGGATGTTTAGTACTTTGATACATGAACATGATGTTTAATACTTGCTACATAGTGATTTTGCTACATGAATATGATGTTTAGTACTTGCTACATAAAGATAATGTTTAGTACTTGCTACATAATGATGATGTTTAGTACTTGCTGTACAATGATGATGTTTAGTACTTTGCTACATAAACTTGATGTTTAATACTTGCTACATAGTGATTTTGCTACATGAATATGATGTTTAGTACTTGCTACATAATGATGATGTGGTACAAGTCACTTTATCCGGCCCAGGCACACCGTGATTAGCCGTTCATTCATGCTTCCTAGTCTTTCACACGCACTAGTCTAAGTTACGAACACGTTGTGTTCTGCTATGTATATATTGGGTGTCTTGTAACCGGCCAGGTACTCGTGTTTTATTCATTGTACTGAGCGGTCAGCGACATTGCCTATATTCTAGCCTTCTCGCACTTCAAGTACGACTTGAGTTTACTTCAGTTGTCAGTGTTCTGCAGCAACATGGCATCTTGCAGTCAAGCAGACGCTGTTCGAAGAATTATCTGACCCTTTTTATTTGGGTCGACCACAAAATGTTAACAAACCTGAAACCATGGGTCTTAGGCTTCAGTCTCTAATGGGACGCAGACTGACGCCGTGGGGTGGGTGGGGTTGGGTGGGTTAGTGCCAGTTTTTGACTTTCTGAGATCGTTAAGAGCGGTCACATCGTGTAATAAAGAGCACGCATCATCGCCGGTGAGAGCGTCGAAGACAATACAATGAGACTCCGTGGTAACTTAGACTAGCCAGTGTGAAAGTGTGGCAACATAAATGAGTGGCCAATCACAGTGTGCCTGGGCCGGACGACGTTACTTGTACCGATAATTCTTAGTAGTTGCTGTATGTGATGATGTTTAGTACTTGCTACATGATGATGTTGTTTAGTACTTACGATATGAATATGATGTTTTGTACTTGCTACGTGTTTACGATGTTTAGTTCATACTATGTAATTATAATTTAAGTGTATTCTAAGCGATAACGATGTTTAGTTCACAATTGTATACGCTGATCACTAAGGCCTTATATGGTTTCACAAACCTACCAGTATTTTGCTATCCAAATGCTTAAAAAAATCATCGGCCTCTCGGAAATTTTCTTTGGCATTTATGTATGAATCCGATAATAGTATCTGTTTCCTGTTAAAATGACAAAAGTAAGTTCACTTATTCACTGAGTCCTACATTAAATACACAGAAACACACATTCAGTTCTTTTGTCAGAGGGTGGCCATACGACCTGCTTTCACGGGGACCGTCCTGTTATTTTAGGCGTGCCCCAACCGTCCCACCAGTACTTTTCAACGCGCCCCCCCCCCCTTTTTTTTTCCACCCCCCAACCCTTTTTAGATAAACCCGGCAATTGTCCCGTTTCATAAAAATCTAGGAATACGTTCAATACTAGAATGTACGCTTATCCTTATATATGTAGATTTAGACATTTTGGTACTAATCATGGAATTCACCCCATCTCGCTCGGTTGCAAGATTTCGTTTTTGTTCTTACAGGCTGTCACATGTTCAGTGGGTGTCAGGCGTTGCCGGTTTGGGAAGGTTTAGGCATATTCATTACCGACGAGAGCCACCGCCAAAGAGCGTAGAAATACAAAAACATCAGTAATTCCATGCACACCAACCGTAGCGCCTTCGGCGCTTTCCCTACAGGATTTATTCCTTGTACACAGAAGCTTGCGGCGCCTCAGCTACTCACAACAACAACACATTCGAGAAACAACAGTCGTTTACAGAAAAGGGTTGCGACTAGAAAGCTACGCATTTATGTCTGGAAGACAGCGTGTCGAACGAACGAGAGCCAGTTTTCGCCACGGTGTGTATAATTCTAACTGCTAACCGAACCACCACTGCGTTTTACTGTCATGCACACACAATAATAATAATGTTAGGGGTAAGAAGGCATCTCACAACACTCCTAGAACATATGACAGCACGTGAGAACAGTCATGAAATCTCGCACCCGAACGAGATGGGATGAATTCCGTGACTAGTAAGTACCGATACTTTTAAAGTCTGAAATGTGTTGACAAGAGTTTTCGTAGTAGCAAATTAACCCTAGTTCAGTTAAAAGAGCATTTTTTTTTTTTTTTTTACGACAATGGTAGGATGTGTAATACCAGCTTCGAGCGACTATTTAAATTTAGTTTTTAATCTGTATTATTCTAACATTATTATTATTGTGTGTGCATGACAGTAAAACGCAGTGGTGGTTCGGTTAGCAGTTAGAATTGTCCCGGAAAAAAAGGGGGTTTGGGAAGACCGTAGTTTTAGTGCATATCTGCAGCCAGGAGCGGCCGGACAATAACATGTCACTAAGGGCAAGAGTCGTCTGAATAATCCCCACAAAACGGGCGTCATTAGTGGTTTAACGTTTGTGGAGATATCGAGGAAAGGATCTGAGAACCTAAAAATCTGTCCGGAATGTTGTGATGATAGTCCTCAATAGTCACTAATCTTCCATTCCCATCTCTTGTCATTCCCATACAAACCTTCAATAATTCTATTGTTATTCCCACAACTGGTAATTCCAACTTGTTTTCATGTCAACATCTGTACGTTTCCATACATTCCTGCAACAACTCTTCGTCCCCATAACGAAATAATTTATTTTCTCACACAGCTTTATGCAGATTTATGAGGTCAACAGTCAAAGTTCGCCTACCAGCAGAAGTAAATGCTAGTGGAAGAGGAAGCGCTGGGAACGCAGCAACGAAAAAAAAAATGGATCCTCAGAAAACCAAAACTAAAATGTCAATGTGATCGTCGCTGGAGCTATGTGGTTAGTGCTTTGTGTGATATTATTGTATACGAATACGCGCGTATTCTAATGAAACGGTGTGTCGAAATTGGAAAGCAATCGGTGAAGAACTTTTGGAGACTATTATCGCTGCTGCTGCTACTACTACTGCTCAGTGAGGGATGTTCTACAGACTAACATTTAATGACACATAGAACCGATTCTTACACTGCATTTCCCTTCTTCGCTGTACTGGGTGTGTTTATGCAGAAACTACCATCACAGCTTGAAAACACATTTGCGATTGCTCCATTTGTACATTTCTGAGGCTGTTGATGAAAACCGTTTACAGTTAGAAAAGAAATAACAAATTACATGGAAGTTGCAGAGACACACTTCTGTAGAAGAAGAAAAATGACACTATGAATAAGATTAATGATAAAGTGTGTGGAAGCTTAAGGGCCTATGCTCTATTATGTAATGATTTTAATCACAGTTGCAATTTCACATTAAACGGGTCACCTCGTAGTATTTGGTTTAAAATTATCAAATATAAAATGATGTATGAAAAAGTAACTATATGCAAGGAGCGGACTAGATGGGGCAAAATGTTAGACGGGCCTGCGTGCCCAATTCTAAACCCATTGTAAATAATGTCTGTTTGTTCGTTCTTTCGTTAAGTTCCTGTGCCAACGAGAATCACACAGAAAGTCAGTCACTGTGCCTTGTGACATAATAGACACCCACTGCAGTTTCAGCACGCATGAAATGCATAAGGCAGTCGTCAGAAGTCTCAACACAAACACTGGCATCAATTACAACAGATTAGTTATTGCAGACGCAGTTAAACTACTGGTTCTCTGGCAAGAGGTCACCTGCTATTTCCTGAACCTGCGATTCACAACACAAACCACACCGGGTACAGTCAAAAGAGCATTCTAAATAACATTCGCAGCTCACAGTGTCGCGACATGTACTCAGCTCAGTAGCTGGGCAACAAAACTATATCCGTTCAGTTTACATATGTAGGAAAAATCAACGACTAACCATTGTCAGAAATAAATACTTGCTACGACTAAGAACAATGTGCCCGCCTTTCCACAATACTGACCGGAAGCCCTGGTAGCTGAAAGGCAAAAGCAGAAGAAAGACTGGGAAGACTTTTACTGACTTATTTCTACCCCACCAGGACATCACACAAGCGATAAACACCCGATGACACAAAGTGCCACCATGCGGATGAGGATCACCGTGGAGAGGTCCCAGAAACCGCGTTCAGACAATTGGCCATATTGATGGCCTGCCTATATTGCGGCCCCTGGCAAAAGCCAGAGTGGGGCTTCAAATAACAAAAAATTACGTCCTGAAAAGAACATAACTGAAACTAAAAATATACTGGAGAGACACGATTTGAAAGATGAAAGTTGGTAACACACAGGACAAATAAACAGTACCTAACATTGCTTGAATACAAACAAAGTAAATTGATAAAGAATACGGATTACTTTTTCAGTCTTGTTTCTTCGTTTCTTCCTTCAGTAAGTTTTATTTTCGTCGTCAACGGTTTGTTCTTTTTTTTTTTCTCCTTATTTTACTTCTTCTTCTTTTCTCCATTTTGATTATTTCTCTTCCTTAAATCTGTAATTCCCCTTTATTTCCTTCGTTTTCTTCTTCAAAGATTTCCGTATCTTTCAGAAAAGTGTCTACAGTTGCACAATATTTTACCTCCTTAGTCGTTGTCCTATACTTCTTCTCCGCCTACCATTCTTTCCTTCGTTCTTCTTTGTCTTTTTCTTCGTCATCTGAATCGTCGTCAGCTTCATCGTCTAATTTGTCTCCTGCTTCTTCATATTCTACTTCGTCTTCTTTTTGCATCTACCCCTTCTGCACATTATCCTGCTACTCCCTCTCTCCTTTCTTCTTTTTCTTTTGTCTTATTTTTCTTCTTCTTTTTCTTCTTCTTCTTCTTCTTCTTCTTCTTCTTCTTCTTTTTCTTCTTCTTTTTTTTCTTCTTCTTCTTCTTTTTCTTCTTCTTCTTCTTTTTTCTTCTTCTTCTTCTTCTTCTTCTTCTTCTTCTTCTTCTTCTTCTTCTTCTTCTTCTTCTTCTTCTTCTTCTTCTTCTTCTGCTGCTGCTGCTGCTGCTTCTTCTCCTTCTTCTTGTTCTTCTTGTTCTTCTTCTTCTTCTTCTTCTTCTTCTTCTTCTTCTTCTTCTTCTTCTTCTTCTTCTCCTTCTTCTTCATCTTCATCTTCATCTTCTTCTTTTTCTTCTCCTATTTCTTCTTCTTCTTTTTTTTTTCGTACCAAATTTTGAACAAATACTGATAGTTTTCTCTATCTCGTACACTGAATTTTCATAAACAACATGAAGAAGAAACTTACCTGCCCTAATTTTTGTGCCTGATATTCAACGACTGCTCGAATTCTGTCAATCCACAATTGCTTCTCTCGAACATCAAATGCTGCGGTGAAAGTATTTTTTAAACTATTTAAAGCATACAGCGTAAAAGTACAGTAAAATACCCTATATATTTGGCATATTGGGCTAGATCTAAATTGCAGCGACCAATGGGCCTTTGGTAGATGATGTGGTCACCATTATGCCGGCCGCCCTAACTTTCTAGGACTCTCTCTGGTACCCAACCAAGGCTGGGTAAAGTTGGAAACCAATGTCATTTAAAAAAAAGATATTTAACTCACGACCTTCCGAACCGCAGGCTAGCGTCTAGCCGCTACACCATGGCGGCCTCCCCAACAACAACCAGTGGTAGCTCGACTTACGAACTACGCAACACATGAACTTTCTGAGATACGACCTTTTTCATACCTTACTTTGACCTTAACATACGTACCCGAAACCTAGATCCAAGAACTAAACCGAGGTGTATTGTATTGTTCAAGCGTACGTGTTTGTTGCTACTACATCGCATTTATCTGGAATATAGCCCGGCTCTCTAGCGGAATTGGCTAAAACCGGATTTCGCGGAGACCAGGTGACGTACTCCTTGTGGTCCGGGTTCAATCCCGGGGGTAGGCAGGAAAGCCACATTTTCTCCCAGATTTACGGTATTTACAATGGAATCAAGGCCGAAAGGTTGCGATTTCCATAATACCGAGCCTAAGGGTTAACAACTCATGGCTTCTGGATACTAAAACAAACAAACAATCTGGAATATAAGGCAACGAATGGTGAGTGCGTCGCATAATGCATATATAGACTTGCGTCTATTTTGGTGTCTATTTCGGTATTTGGGGAATCAAACAATAAACGGTATTTGGGTAATCAAACGATACACGGTATTTGGGCAATTAAGCGATACACGGTATTTGGGTAATCAAACGATACAAGGTATTTGGGTAATCAAACGATGCACGCTATTTGGGTAATCACACGATACACGTTATTTCGGCAATCAAACGATACACGATATTTGGGTAATCAAACGATACACGGTTTTTGGGTAATGAAACGATACAATTAGTTTATGTACTTGCAGGAGGCGTTACGGCTAAACAGTTCAAATAATTATTTAGATATCGTGTATCATTTACAACATGGGGCCAACGAAAACTACGGGAGAAGAGAAAACAATTGCAACAGAAACTAAGAAAGAGATTGTGGGAAAATATGAGAAAGTGGTCAGGCAAAGATACACTGTCCATCACCTTTCACACAATTTTCCGGCAATCGACACGTTGTCCATCAACTTTCACACAATTTTCCGGCAATCGACACGTTGTCCATCAACTTTCACACAATTTTCCGGCAATCGACACGTTGTCCATCAACTTTCACACAATTTTCCGGCAATCGACACGTTGTTCATCAACTTCCACATACATTTTTTTTTTTTTTTTCAGTAATCGACACATTGTTCATTAACTCTTACACAATTTATCAGTAATCGATACAATGTCCATAAACTTTCGCACAATTTATCAGTTACTGACACACTGCCCCTGAACTTCCATACCATTTTTTTTTTTCAGTAAATGACAAACTGTTCATGAACTTTCACATAATTTGTCAGTAATCGATACATTGTCCGTGGAGTTTCACACATATATTTTTTTTTCTTTAGTAATCGACACAGTGTCCATGAACTTTACGCAGTTTTTTAGTAATCAATCAACAGACTGTCCATGAATTTTTACACAATTTTTCAGCACTGACAGACTGTCCATGATTCTCTTTAGTAGATTAGGACTGGTTCTATAAATCTCATAAAAACTCTCTTTCTCTAATTGATTCATCTCTGCTTCTTCTACTTCTTTTTTCTTAGCCTTCACCGCGGTAAACTCGGCGAAAAATTATGGTTGTTCTTACACCACATGAATTTAGTCTCGTTTAAGAACTTAAATTCTGCGTGCACACCCGTTCTACAGATCTGACTTATGTGTTTACAGACTGCTGATTCGTCGTCTCCCAGGCATATGTATTCTGACTTCACAGAAACACCCCCTCCCCCCCCCCCCCCCCAGTTGAGAGACTTCCTCATATGATACGTTTTTAGGAGGCAGTGGGGCTATTCACCCCCCCCCCTCCTCCCAACCCACATACCCCAGTGCAGCCGGAACCTACACTAGGAAGCCCTAATTCACAGTTTTACAGTATGCATCAGGTAAGATGGCCCTGTGTTCTGGTCTGAAATTTAAGATTTAACTCTTGAGGTTGTATTTGTGGTCAAACCTTCAAGTAACGGAAATAGACTGACGTCAGCAATACAAGTATATATATATATATATATATATATATATATATATAGATATATATATATATATATATATATATATATATATATATATATATATATATGTGTGTGTGTGTGTGTGTATAAGTTCTATTCAACTGGCCTAGTAAGCGTCCGCAGATCTTTGACAATTGTATTGTATTAACGATCATTACTACGCTGGGGTTTTGACCTCTGGCCCGTGACGATCCGCATTTTTAACTCCCCTCCCCCCTTTTTTTTCCCTCTTCAACCTCGTGTAAACTTAGTTGAATAGTCCTGGTATAGATTAATAGCCCTGGCAAAAGTAGAAAAATTACCAACACTTACACCAACTCACCTTTAAACTTAAATATCTCCCCGTTTGCTGAGTTAACAGTGAAAGTCATTTCACCTTTCTTTGTAGACACCTTCGCTGACTGTGTAGAGGTAAGAAAGACTAGAAGTCTCAGATATACATTCCTCATTTTCGTGCACATTCTGATACGCCTATGTTATTTTAGTGTCAACATAACAGTTTCTATATCAGCTGACATTCAGGTAAGATAAAGCAAGGGGTCTGGAGGCGCAGGGGGAAACAAACACGGACAGTTCCAGCCTGCACCATTAGTACAGCAAACTCTTTGTTGGCTATTGAAGTAGGGACAGAGTTCGTTTGGACATGTCTGGATGCAGTGATGTTCATTCATTCATTCATTCATTCATTCATTCATTCATTCATTCATTCATTCATTCATTCACTGTTTTACGTTTTTAATAGCAAGGACTTTGTTTTTCAAGAGTCTGTAAGTAAATGTAAAACAAGTTCCGGTAAAATTGCCCCGGGCGTATAATCAACGAAATAATAGTAAAATAATCTTAGAAATACCAGTTTCACAATTTTACTAGAAAGTCGCAGAAGCTGCAAGACTTCATGAAGAAAGTAAAAATGTATAGTGTATAATGACGACTAAACGTTAATTTGTAAGAATGAAGAACAGATAATCTGCAATGGAAAGCGAAGGCTGAACAATGGACATCACACTTAAAGGGTGGATATTAGATCTAGCGGCAGTTTCTACAATTATGGACATGTAATTAAAAAAAATTATGGCAAACAATGAATAGAAAAAAGAAATAGAAAATAAACAGTCAGCGACAACAAAAATAACACCACGAGACAGCAATATTGATAAGTTAAGAGATATTTAGAAGCTGCAGAGATATGGTTTTAAAGACGAATGGTGAAAATACCTTAGGCAGATCAAAAAGATTAATGAGGATAGTTTGAAAGAAACTGTCTGACGAAGAGAACTGATTACCCACATCAGAAAGAGACAGTCTACATGCTTTGATCACGTGATGAGACGAAGAAAACTGGAGTACATCGTGATAGTAGGAAAGTTAGAAGGGGAAAAAAAACGGGAGGGGGGTTGCGGGAGAAATATGCTGGACAGTTTGACATCATGGCATCTGTGTCAGAGCTGACTGAAAGTACGCTAAATAGAAGGTTATGGACTGACATGGCTACCAACGCCACACGGCATGGACTTTAAGAAGAAGAAGAAGGCAGATAATATGGCGACAATAGTACGGATTCAGTCACAAGCAATGTTATGGTGTTTTCCACATATGGATTTTGATAACACAGGAAAATCAACTAAATACCAGACAGTTTTCAGAATTACAGTAACACGGACATAAAGATTTGGATTGCACATTTTATTGCATGGCATATTCCATGGTATCTCGTCGGGTACACAACCATAATGTTAAATTAACGTATAATAAAGCAGGAAAATAAATCCTTTTCGTGTTGTCAATTTAATCTGTACATCTCTCCCTCCGTCGGACATTCAAAATTCTTTGGGAACCGTCTGGGAGAAGAGGATGGGGGAGGGGGAGGGGGAGACTGGCCTCCCCATGTCATACGTTTGACCTAGAATGTGTGAAAATCTCGCCCTTCACATTCCAACGATAGTACATAGCAACGATAGTATTTTAGAGGGATGGACAATATACTAACACGCAAGCTACCGCGTCCATGTTTTCCTAGGGCGACCTCTTGCTTTCACATAACATCTTTTCACGGATAGCGCTGGTGTGGGTAATCGTTGTGGCTGCAATCTAACGAAATTTTCCTAATTACTACCAAAACACACACGTGTACATCCTCAAATATGTATGCTTTTAAGATTCTACCTTCCGCTCCAGGTATTGCAATGAACTGCAGTGTTCGGACAATATAATACTGCCTTTGCTAGAGACAGAGTCCCTACCAGTGTCATGGCAGGCAAACACACGAAGCACAGTGCAACGGTGGCATATACTTGACATTTTTTTTTTAAATCTGTGTGTTGTGATCTTGCTCGTGAAAACTTTCCAGGGTCATATATTACAAGTACCACTAATCGTTTTACTATACATATGTTCTCCATAACATCATGTACTGTTGTTGCCATTGTTTCTTCTTCTTCTCTTCTCTTTTTCTTCTTCCTCTTCTTCTCTTCTTCTTTTTTCTTCCTTTTCTTCTTCTTCTTCTTCTTCTTCTTCTTCTTCTTCTTCTTCTTCTTCTTCTTCTTCTTATTATTATTATTATTATTATTATTATTATTATTATTATTATTTATTATTATTATTCCTCTTCTTCTCTTCTTCTTTTTTCTTCCTTTTCTTCTTCTTCTTCTTCTTCTTCTTCTTCTTCTTCTTCTTCTTCTTCTTCTTCTTCTTCTTCTTCTTCTACTTTTTCTTCTACGAATGCTCTTAAAAGGGCGTTTACCAGGTTGCGTTATGATTTACAGCTAGGCTGTGATATCTGCGTCTTTCGGTCTAGCACATTCGATTTGACCAAACCCTTTACTAGTCGCCTTTTGCTGCATGCTTGTTAATGGACAGTGGGTCTATTGGTTGTTGTCTCCACCAGACTGGGGCCCTAGAACCAACACAGGGATGCCAGTTGTCTAGTATCTTCTCTCTTGATTCATCCTCACCCGTTCTTTCGTTTCTGGTCTGCCATTACAATTAACAGAATAAACAGCCGGAGCTACGGAGCACGTGCTTTGCGCTTGACACATTTTCACTGACTCAGAAAGCCTGGTGAGGAAGATCAGGACAGGCATGCTTCGTGCAGAGTGGCATGCCTCGCTGCGGAGGACACGGGTGAAGAGTATGGTCTGAATTTTTTTCACCAGGGCCGCCGGTGTTTTGGGAAATGAACAACCGGACAAACTGGCTGGCTCTGCACAACTTGGTGGAATACTGATACATGATAAGGCAGGCGTGGTTAGTGCCTTGTTGGAGAGCGTGAACAGTTCGGAGGAGCAGATGGATCACCAGTCTGGTGAGATTGGTGCAGTTGGGGTTGACGAGAGGTTCTGGCAGATGCTCGAGGCTCAGAGGAAAGGCAAGACAGACGTTTAATCAGAATGCTACTGTCACCATTTGTATCGGAACTCTTCGGTGGCTGCTGAATGTGACAGTACTGATTACAGTCACGTTTTTTTACAAGAAGGAAATAGAAGGAAAGAAACACACGGAGGAATAAGGAGGTATAGAGTCGCTTGAGATAAAGAGGGTCGCTAGACTAACAACCCTGAGGGCATTGACTCAAGAGTCGACAAAGACGTGGGTGCATGCCAAGCTTGTTCATGAACTGTGGTAGGCCAATATACTCGTAAATTAACAGAGGCAGGGCAACGAACAAAGGCAACGACACAAGATTTCCTGGGGATTTTCCATCCAAATATGCAAAGTGGCTTGGAATACCATCTTTGGCGGGAAAGAGAAAGGTTCATGAACCTAAGAAGATAAGGTTCGTGAACTCAGGTGCAAAGGAGAGAGATATAACCAAGTGGCGTCGGGGGTATATACACTACCAGCGAGTAGCCAGAGAGACACTTGCACTGAGATCTCCGCCAACGAAGGATGCTGTGGGCATTCTGATCATGTCGCTACGATGGAGCTAAGTCCATACTTCTGTTTTGTGACTTGCCAGATAATGCACGAAATATTGCTTCATGTTATGAAAGTAGTACTGTGTTCATGTAAAGTAATTAGATAAGATAAGATCATGTTGGGTTATTGGTAGGACACATGATGATGATGATTTCTCTGATATGCGTTAACTGGATCTTGCGAGTCGTCTAACTGTACACCTGAGACATAGCAGATGCCATGTTGACAGATCCAAGTGTATTAATGCAAAGTATGAGTATCCATATATATGTTATAATGATTTCTGGGAGCAGACATCTTCTTGGAACAACAACGAGAAACGTTTTGTGCATGCAGCATACGGAGGCTGCCCTCTTATTTAGGTCAGAGGCCCAATATCGTATTTCACAGGTAGAGAGAGAGTGGTTTGGTGAATAAACAGGCTAGCCCTAGAATGACCCTTTCTAACGGCCAGACTGTCTGCGATGTTTTGATTGTGATACAGGAGGAAAGCAGCGGGCACTGATGTCATAAAATGTATAATTGTGTATGTATAGTTATGTGTGTTATGGTTGTCATGAAGAATATAGGCTTCTGTTAGAAGACATAATAACTACTGGAAGACCGGCACAGTACATGATGGTGATGGTCATGATAACAGATAAGCATGACGTGTGAAGTATCATATTGAACAGCAGCGTTAGCGCTGCTATGGAATGATAACGCCATGAGTATTAACATGATGCAGTAATAATGTTGTAAACATTTAGTTGTGATTTGAAGAGAGAATGATATAAGAAGATATGGGAAAGTGAAAGTCATTTAGCTTTAACTGTCCTCGGCAAGCTGCTGAGAAGGGAGCACACGGATATAATAGAATTTACCTGTACAGGGGCGGGACAGAAGTATCAGATGTTGAAGTGAGTGGGGGATGCAAGGCCAGGTCTGTAGCCGGACTGTTGTTGTTTGAGGAGGAAGTGCATGGGCATTCATGTGGTAAAAGTAAATAGTGCATGTATGGTTATACATAGTCATATGTGTTGAATAAGAAGTACATGTGGGTTAGTGGATGGAGGTTTATTCAAGGCTATCAGAATGCCTGTTTAAAGGGAGAACTATTCGTATGAAGAAAGGCAGTTGTTTGCAGAGTAGAATACGATGTATGTTGTTGCGTTTACGTTTATATGCTTGGCAATGTGAACTTATAGATTGTTTGAATATATTTAACAGGTGACATGGCAGTTTCTGTCATGGTGTGCCGGGTTGGCTAAATAGGCTAGCTGGTCTTTGGACTGCAATCAGCTATAGTTAGATGGTATCTAGACTGCAGTCAGCAGTATGGCTAGATGGTAGTCGGTATTTGGCTATTGGTTTGCTGGTCTTTGGACTGCAATCAGCAGTACGGTTAGATGGTAGTCGGTATTTGGCATTAGAGTAGATGGCTAGATTGTAGTTGTTATTTGGCTTATTATTTGTAGAGCAATGAAGGATATTCTAGGCGTCATTT